AGTGAGAGAGTGAATGGTTGTTTGTCTCGTTTGTCTCTATGTGTCCCTGTGATGGACTGGAGACCTGTCCAGGGTGTCCCCCGCCCCTCGCACAGTGATTGCTGGACATGGGCACCGGTGACCCCAGTGACCCAAAATGGAATAAGCAGGTAAAGAAAATGGATGGATGGATGTATGACTTTTTATAACTGTTTATTGTTGTTGCTGTTGTCCATTGTTTCATCTTTCTTTGTTAAATCAGGTCTCTCTTGTAAATGAGTCCTCGAGGCTCAATGGGATTAATACAGATAATAGATTACCTGTCTAAATAAAGGTGGGATGAAAAAAAAAACAACTGAAACTGAGAAAATCAGCTAAATCTAAATTAAAAACCTTTGACGGAGCTTCAGAAGGTCTGGTGGTGGTCCAGAACCACATCAAAGGACTCCAGGTGAGTCTGGATCAATGGAAGGAAAATATGAGATCAGACCTGGATCAGGACTAGATCAGGACTGCTGTCAGTGTCCAGTTGATTCCTCACGGGGCCCCCTGAAGAACTCTGGCGCCCCCTAGTGGAGCCATGCCCCTTTGAGAAGCCCGTGTCTTCGTTAGGAGCCTGAGAGACGGCTCTGAGCGTCCGGGTTCAAAGGAACCAACAAAGTGATTCATGAGGAAAATCAAAACAACGTTTCCTCTACATGTTCCAGATGTTTCTAATCACACTGATGAAGAACATCTGCAGGATCTGGTCAGAACCAGACAAACAGCTGGAACCCAAACGAAACCGCCGCTCCACAACACTGACGGTACCGACAGGGCTGACGAACCGAGACGCTGTCAGAACTTGAACCTGGATTAGAATTTAATCTGTGATCTGTGGTTTACGACAAGCTTCAGATGAAGGAGAGCAGAACTTTGGGTCTTTGAAACTAACAATTAAATTTATTCCATGAAACTGGGACTACGTCCCTGTCTTCACATCAGTTTGACATGTCCCCCCTCCATCTCCGGATGTTTTCAATCATTGAACCTTTATTTCTACAAGTTAATCCCATTGAGCCTCGAGGACTCATTTACAAGAGAGACCTGGTTTAACAAAGAAAGATGACAACAATGGACAACAGCAACAACAATAAACAGTTATAAAAAGTCATACTGCAGTTTTTTTTTTTTTTTTAACAAATAGGATGGCTAAAAAAGTAACAAAAAACAGCTGGATTCTAAGGTGAATGTAGAAAACTAAAAACAGGAACATGTCTGCATTGGTCCCTGCCAGGAGTCCAACAGATTCTTAAAGACACTTAGAGAGGTCAAAGGCCGAGAGCTCCAGATCTTTTTACAAGATGTTCCAGGAAACAGGAGCGGAGTAGGAGAAGGTCCTTTTGTCTAGTTCAGTCCTCACTGAGGGAACACTGCAGGTAATGATGTCCTGAGAGCGCACGCTGTAGCTGCACTCACACAGAGACATGTAGGAGGAGATGTATGAAGGCAGCAGACCAGGAAGTGATTTAAAGATGAAAATGTACCAGTGGGAGAGTCTGTGTGAAGTTAATGGTGACCAGTTAACCAGTGAATACTGGGTGCAGTGGTGGGTACGGTAATTACAGCCAGTTATGAATCTTAGTGCACCATGATAGACAGCATCCAACATCTGCAGCATCCAACATCTGCAGCATCCAACATCTGCAGCATCCAACATCTGCAGGGTTCTTGTAGGAGCGTTCATGTAAATGAAGTAACCGTGTATATATATTAGGGGTTGAACGAGTATATAATTTTTAAACTCAACATTAACATAATAAAACCCGAGTAAAACTTGAGTATTTGATGACGTCATAGATCTCAAGATACAAAAGTAAATAAATAAATAAAACCACAAAAAAAGGTAATTATTTACAACAAAAAAAAAGACCAACAGAACATTGGGAGTGTATATTATGCTCCTCCCATTTATCATACTGCAAATAAGTCACAGGAAAAACTAAACTATTAGTTTTTATTATTAAACTACAAACATGAAGAAACGCAGCACGTCAGAAACGAAATTTAAACCGAAACTGGTTCTGGTTCTGGTGGATTGGACCCGGTGTTACACCATACTCTGTGACCTGCAACAGTGCAACACCGCCCCCTACGGTCATACGGTGGTCACATAATATGACGTCACTGCGAATACTCAACATAACATTTTTAACCTCTATAGATGTCCTAGCAATCGATGTGTAGATTACTCGAGTACTCTGTTAATGCCCTAATACATATATGTATATTGTATATATATATGTGTATATATATATATATATATGTATATATATGTGTATATATATATATACATATATATATATATATGTATGTGTATATATATATATAT